GGGGGGAGTGGGGGAACCAGCCTAAGCAGACCCACTCCCCAACCACAAGACACCACCACAGGGAGGGGGAAGCAACCCACAACCACACCACACCACAGGGAGGGGGAGGAGGAACCATTGGGGGGGGAGGGGGGGGGGGCCGGCCGAACCGGGATCATATATATCCTATAAGGGCTTTGGGTTAAGGGTTGAGCAGTCTCCGAAAAGGGCCCAGCAGCCTTTAAGAAGTCTGCTGTTGTTTTTGTTGTTTTGGGTTTTAGACAGAGGTTTTTCAGGTTGGATCAGAGCTTATGTCGGGTCTCGTAGATTCAAGAATTGTTCAAGGTTTTAGGAGTGTGCCTTAACCGTTTGGTGGCTTAATTGTTTGGTTCAAAATTCAAAGCAACCCTAATCCCTAAAACCCTAAACCGTTGCCCTAAACCCTAGTGTTTTTTCGGAGAGGTTGCGTGAGGGCTCCGCGTTCAGGTCTCTGACTCCCGCTTCTTGCCATGACTGATGAATCTACCGTCCCCTTTGGCCTGCCGCCTCCGGTGGAGGATGCCCCGATGATGCGTGCTGATGATGAACTCCGCCACTCGGGGGATGAGGGGGGAGGCGCTGTTGATGGGGAGCCGCCTGGGGCGGGGATTGGCGAGACAGCTCTGGACGCCGAAAGGGGACCTAGCCTGGAGCGCCAGGAAACTCGGGATGTCAGTCGTGCGAACCCTGGAGTTCCGGGGGCCGCTAGAGGTGTGCCCCCTAGTCCTACAGAACAGGAGCTTACGGATGCTGCCATCGCAGCAGAAGCACTGCTTGCGGCAACCTCGGATATGAAGGTGGGCATTCGCGGAACCAGATTTCACGTCACAGGCTCGGTCAAGCCCCTTCAAGATAAGAGAAACCAAGAAAGCCCTGAGAAAAAGCCTAAATTAATGACGGCCAAGATGCCGCAGTTCGGTCAGGCGACTGTGGCCGAGTCTTCTCATAGCAGACAACCCCCCCTGTTCCATGGCCCACAACCACCCCACAGCAATGCGGCGCTTTCTTTGCCCCCCCTTGATAATCCTCCTCTTCCTGCCCAACACCTGCCTGCCCCTGCCTCAACAGGCCCACAGCACTTTGTGCTCGATCAGGAGCCGCCGTGGCTGTCAGGCCTACAACAGGAGCTCCAGACCATCGTTCACACTCAGAAGGTGATGGCGCAGCAAATGCAGGACTCGAGCCGGGACCTGCGGGGTATTCAGGAGGGAATACGTAACTTGAGTGTAGGCCAGGAGTCCTTGACAAGAAGAGCTGATGATCAGGAAGCTGCGCTTGAGCAGATGCGTCGGGAATTCAAAGAACTGGAGAAGGAATCCAGGTAATCAAGAGCTCTCCCCCTACCAGGAATGCTAGTCCTGCCACTACTCCCCGGGGAGGCGGAGGTTACCAGCGATCCAACAGTCCCAGGTTTGACTCCAACGGTCAAAGAGAGGTTGATGAGTTGCAGCTTGTGATAGGGGGATGGGCCGAGGCCAAGCGGGAACAAATCGAAGAAGACGTCAAACAGATGTTCCTCACACTTCAAGCAGCTCCACTGCTTAAGGCAGTGTACGTGCCTTACGTTAGAAGTAGCTTTTGCCGGGTAGAGCTTGTGTATGCCGATGAGAACGTCTGGGCGCAACGGAAACTGCAGGGGACCGTCCTACAGCACCTCAAAACCCTTGGCTATCGCTCCCAAATCCCAGGACAAGAGAGAGCCACTTTCTGGTTTTCCCGGAATAGAACGCAGCAGGAAAGGGCAAAAATCAGGGCGATTCTATCTGTTCAGTCCTTATGTGTTCGCTATCTGGGAGAGGGGATGGTGGACAAGGATTGGCGAGGGAAAGTCTGGGCAAATGGGAAGCATGGTTCTCTTCCATATAGATCTCCACACGAGAGCACTCAATACAATCATGCTCACGGATAATCGTGGGAACGAAACGGGGTGGTTCTTGGATGTGGATCTGCTTACGGGCGTATTGGGGGCCCCCCGCGCTGCTGTGCTGGCCTTCTTTGGGGCGGAGGAGTAGGGAGTAGGAGGGAGACCTGAAGTCCATAGTTCTGCCTCGCAGGATGCAGATGAGGTAGGACACGACAGTACGATGTCCTTGTTACAGCATTTTGGCTACGCTGCTTCGTCCAATAGGGATGCTAGGAGAAGGCCAACTGGTATTCGATGCATGACTTGGAATTTACATGGTACAAGCATTGACCATGTTAGCACGCTCCTTGCCAACATTGATGAGCCTCCGGGGATCACGTTTTTCCAGGAGGTCGGCGACGTAAAGTCCCTGGACTTAGGTCAAAAGCTGATAGGTTCCTTGAGGTGGCTCAGAAAGAGTATGTGGCATACTTTGCTAACCCGCGTTTGAGTCACAGGTGCGCTGCAGTACTTGTTGCATGCGAATTCGACTTTAAGCTGCATGACGTGCATGTGCATGAAATAGGTCTCAGTGTGCATGGAGAATTTGGGGGGAGGACATGGCTGCTGAGTAGCATGCACTATCCGCATGCACATCGTCCTGATGCGCTTGATGTCTGGCGTTCCAGCACTGCGGACTTAGGAGACGTCTTGGCAAGTATCCCGACAGGTGCCTCGGTGCTGCTGGGTCACGACTTGAATCAAGACGCACACGCAGACGTTGACGAATTTGATGGCATGATGCACTATCGCCAGCTCATCCACAGAATGGGTTTAGATCTTAGCCCCCCATTGGGGAGCACTTGGGTCGCGAGAGGTACGGAGTCGTGCATTGATTTTATAGCGTTTAGGGTGCAGGGAGCTGAGTTGTCTTTCTGGAAGCGGGAAGATTACCGCCTGGCACTCCCTTCAGACCATAACGCCGTAGGAGCTGAGATTGTCATCAGAGAATGCAATCCAGCGCGAAGGCGCAGGCACAAGAAGACTCTATGTGGGAAATGGTGTGTGGACACTGAGGCCTTCTACGCCCAATTGCGGGATTCCCCCACTTGGGATCAGGATAAGCTCTGTGCTGCATTCGGGGCCAAGGGGGTTAGTAAACGCCCTCGGTCCTTGAAGTATGCTGATTCCGCTGAAATCAAGGGCATGATTGAAAGTAGGAAAGCCAGTGTAGATGCAGACCAACGAGCAGCGCTCATGCAGGAAATCCACCAGCAGAGGCGCCAGGATAGGCAGCAGCACAAAGAGAGCCTTCTCGCGAAAGCTAAGGAGGGGGATTGGCATGCCATTGCACACCTGAGGAGAAGCGCGGCGGGGAGCTTCACGGAGGGCTCCTACGTTCAAAGGGCGGGGGGACTTGCTAAGGCGAGTCGGGACCTTCACGCTTTCTATCATGAGAAATTTTCCTCGAGTGAGGCCCCCCCGACTGAGACGCAACTCCGGAATGCGCATGCTGTTCATGGGTTGCCCCCGAAGCCTGTTACAAAGGAGGAGGTGCAGTCTGCTTTGGGTCGCTGCCGGTTGGGGGTGAGCGCTGGGCTTGATGGAATCAATTTCGAGGGACTCAAGGCTGTGGTGTCGAAGGACGACAGGGAACGCATACCGCAGTATTTTACCCGCCTGCTTCAGGGAGTGGACCCGCTTCCGCAGTCCTGGCTCTTAGGTAAGATCGTCCTCTTGCCCAAGATACCGCGCCCCCAAGAACCCAAGGATCTTCGTCCGATCTGCCTCGTGCCGACCCTTAGTAGGCTCTTCGCTAAGATAGCCATGGAGCGCCTTAGGAACAGTGCTCCGCAGTATGCAGGAAACCAGTTGGCCTGTAGGCCCGGAGTGCAGGTGTTGGACGGCATTACAGCTGCTCAAACAACGATGTCACTGGTCAGGAAAACCACGGGGAGGTTCTGCAAGGTCGCTAAGCTGGACATCAAAGCAGCCTTTGATTCTGTCTCTCATAAGGCAGTCTATAGCTGGTTGATTGCTTGTGATCCTTGCCCAGAGGCCTTGAGGTTGATGCAGCTGGTCTTGGGCTCTTCTGTTGAGGTTGGTATTGCCGGTGTTGAGAAGCGACTAAAAATGCAGAGAGGCATCATGCAGGGCTCTGCTTTCTCGGCGGATCTTTTCTCTCGCATAATGGATTGGGCTCTGGCACCCGTGCTACAAAGGATGCAGGACATGTATCCTCAATGGGCGATGCACGTTCGAGACATGCCGCATTTCTTGTTGTATGCAGATGACCTGATTGTTTTTGCTGAGACAGAGGCAGAACTTCAGACTAAGTTGCATATGCTGGTTGAGGAATTAGGGCAGGTAGGTCTAGAGGTTAACCAGGGGAAATGCAAAGTTTTGCAGGACCCTTCAGGTACATGCCCTGGCATCTGGCTTCCGCGCTCAGCTTGCCCTTTACAGGGGGAAGATAGACTGCTTTTCTTGGGTCTGCCGCTGGGTCACGCTGTAGGCTCGCAGGCCATCTTCGGTCATCTGATGCGTAAGACCAATAATACCTTCTTTGCTTTTAAGCGCCTCCTCGATGACGGTCGTACACCGCTTTCGCTGCGACTTTTTCTGTTCGATACGTTTGTCACGGCTAAATGGCAGTGGGCAGCCCCAGCCATGTTCCCTGATAAAAAGACACTCCGCTCTATCGAGGCTAGCAAGAACACCTTCCTGCTCTCGATATGCCGAGTGGGAACGGATCCACTTATGCATTGGGTGGATAACACCGTTACGCGTCGTCGTTCCGTGAAGCTCCTGTGTTCCATTGTCGGTGGCCCGGATTGGAGAAAAGTTTGGCTGTCGAGATTCTGGGGGTACTATGGTCACTTGGCTAGGTCGTCAGTACGCCATCCGCAAAGACAGCTGTTGTCGGTCTG